AAATTGTTAGAAAATCTTAAAAAAAATAAAATAAGGGTCCATGGAGATGCATGCCTGTCTTACCAGCTACTCTGGAGACTGAGGTAGGAGAATCACTAGTTAAATTCTACCTTAAACAAAGAGATTCTTAAGTAATTTCACTTTGTGTCTTAGCTTCCAAGTTTTTTTTTTTTTTTTTTTTTTTTTGTCCGGAACCGGGGATTGAACTCAGGTCTTTGTGCTTGCCAGGGAAGCGCTTATTCCACTGAGCCATCTCCCTGGCCCTAGCTTCCAAGTTTTTAACTATACTCTAGTTTTTTATGATCCCTGAAGTATATCTTGGTTTAATTTTTTTTTTTTTTTTTTTTTTTTTTTTTTTTTTTTTTTTTCGGTACCAGGGATCAAACTCATGACCTTGCACTTGCCAGGCAGGTGCTCATGCCACTGAGCTATATCCCCAGCCCTTGGTTAATTTAATATGATTAACAATGGCTCGGGGCTGGTGAGATGGCTCAGTGGTCTAAAGCACCTACTTAGAACAAGCTTAGCACAGGCACCGCGGTTCAATCCCCCAGCACCACATGCCAGCCAGCCCTGCCCCCTGGTGGGCTGAGCTGGTCACACACACACAAACACACACACACAAATAAAAATTAAAAAACAAAAAACTATGGCTTAATCATATTTATGTCTATCCATTTATTCAATTTCTTTTTTACTACCTTTCCCAGATTTCTTTTAGAATTAGGTAATCTGTACAAAGAAATCTTAACATTTGCACATGGCATATGTGAGTGCAGCCTGTGAAGACAGTAATTGTTAACGTAAGTGCAAACCTCTTGATCTTCCATTTCAATTCTCGCTCCTTCCTTTTCTTTGTTTCCCTCTGTGGTACTGGGAATCAAGCCCACGGCCTTATGCATACCAGGCAAGAGTTCCAGCACAGAGTCACATCTCTAGCCCTGATCTTGATCTTACCTTTGAAAAGTATTTTGAAGGCCTGGGGAGATAGCTCAGTAGAGTAAGCACTTGCCTGGCAAGCACAGGAGCACAGGGTCCTGAGTTCAGTCCCCAGTGCTGCAGAAAGGAAGGAAGGAAGGAAGGAAGGAAGGAAGGAAGGAAGGAAGGAAGGAAGGAAGGAAGGGAGGAAGGGTGCCTTACACTTGAGTTTTTCTTTTTCTTTTATAGTGCTGGGAATCCAACCCAGGGCGTTGCATGTGCGAGGCAAGTATTTCGCCACTGAGCTACTTTCCCAGTTTATCTTTGAAAAATAAAGATCGCATAAGCTTTTGGCTGTCTTGGAAAAGGGTTTCCTTTTGCAATATCTACTCAGCCATCTGTTTCTTTCAGGAAGTCCACTACCAGGTGACACAAAGTAAAATCATCTTGTGTATACACGAGGGGACAAGTGCCAGCTTACTATCTGACCTGCCATCCAGGATGCAGAAGACTAGAAACCCACTAAAGCGCCTGCTGAGGTGTGGTCTCTGCAGCAGCTTGCTGCATGCCCACCAGGGGGGCAAAGCATCACTGCGGGTGCTGATGTGGGACAGGATATCACAGTCGAGGGGAAAAAGCCTGGTGCACAACACGACAACTACACAAACTCTGAAGATCTCCCAGATCCGGTTTGGCAGCTATAGCCGCCCAGAAGGACGGAGGGTATTGGTAGAGGCAAGGGACCCACCCTTGTGCTTCTTAGATTGCATACCTTGTGTATATTATTTATACTTTAAAATTATTTTAATACTATTTTTGATTAGAAGGGTGTTTTCACCTAACTCTGAAAACTAAAAAACAAAACAAAAAACCCAATTAATGTTCAAGTATAAAATTTATTTTTATTGATTAAAAAAGCATGATTGGAAAGACACAAAAGTTTGGTATTAAAGTGAATACAGGGTATATTGTTGAGTTCTGGGTGTGAGGTCATTTTTCCTTTAATACTGCTGTAAGTAAATTTACCCTGAGAAATTACTCATAACTCAGATTTCATAGAGACTTTTGAGAGCAGTGTATTCCTTTAAGGTATAACACTAAACTTTTTTAAATTTTTTTTTTACATTGGCTTCTGAAGCAGAACATTCAGCTATTGTTATCAAAATTGTTAATAATCTGACTTCCTAAAATTAAAGTATTTATTGCTCTAATTGAACTTTTTACAAAAGATAAGTTAGTGCTTTTTCCTCTTATTCTATTCAGTATTTTAGGAAACAAATCCATGGGATAAGGTTTTTTTTTTTTGGAAACAAATTCATGTCATTAAAAATTTAGAGAAAATGTTATTTACTGACCAACCCATATCCAATATAGATGGTTCTGTTTAAAGTCAGCTGGCATTCTAAATTCTTCCTCACATTTTCAAGCATTCTTAAGTGACTTCTTACATTTATATTCTTATATTTGTGTAATTCTTAATTTTTATATTTTATCAAATGCAAAGTTGCTTTCTCAAGTGAGCTGTATGCAACTTAAATATAAGAAATAGCTCCTGAGAGGAAATGCTTCATCTTTAGGATTTGGAGCAGTTGGTTGGCTCGGGAAACGTTATGCACATCACAGACTGACTTGCCTTCACAGGAATGAACTTGAAACTGTCACTTTTCCTTTGTAAATGGAAAAAGCACCTCTAATTGTGCTATATTTATAGCAACTAGATATCCCAGACTTTTCTAGCCCAGTTCCCAGTTTCATATCCGCCCCCTGTGCCTGCTTGAAGGCTGGCCAAATAGCTCAGTGGATTAAAGCGCCTTCAAGCAGGCACAGGGGGCGGGGGTTTAATCCCAGGACATGCCATGCTGGCCCCGCCCTGAGGGCCCACTGAGACAGCAATTGAGACTGGGCTGGTAGCGGGCGGGGCCTGTAATCCCAGCACTTGGGATCAATTGCCATCTCAGTGTGCCCCAGGGGCAGGGTCGGCACAGCAGGCCTGGGGATCAAACCGCTGGCCCCTGTGCCTGCTTGCAGGCACTTTAAGCCTCTGAGCTATTTGGCCAGCCCCCTGCTTCATTTTGGGTTGAGCAAATGTTTGTAATATTCCATTTTTAGTTTTTCTCTTGGTTTTTTAGCTCCATGATTAATTAATGGTTACTTCATCTAAATCAGACCACTTCGTGTAAAATGTCTTACCAAAATATCACTTGTACCACCTATATCTTTTATGGTGTTTGTATTAATTACAACAAAGTGCATTCTAAACTACTGTGTGCGGGTGTGTTATTTCTGTAAATAACACTGTGTCCTTTGAGAGGTTGAAAATGGGTGTATTTTGTTTTGTTTTTTTGAGACAAAGTCTCCCTGTTTAGTGCAGGCTGGCCTTGAACTCACTTTTGTAATCCAGGTTTTGAATTTACTTTGATCCTCCTGACTCAGCCTCCCAAATACTAGGATTACAGACATGTGTCACCATGCCTGGCATGTTTTGTTTTTAAACACTTACATATTCACCATTTTGATGTTGTTACTCCTCCGGTGGTCTGACTTCCTGACTGGATCTTGCAGCGTCAGTCTGCCAGTTGGAGTTTCAGCTGCACTTCCCCGCCGGCCTCAAACTCCTTTCCATGTTGAGGGCATCTCTTGCTGGGTACAGACGAGAGGTGCTTTGTCTCTTTGGGCACCAGCCGCTTTGCTGTCTCCTGCTGCCCGTGTACTTGATGAGTTGCCAGCCTCTGCGTGACTTGCTCCCCGTGTGGAACACCTTGTTCCCGAGAATCTGCCTCACCTCCAGCCCTCACCGGCACTGTGCTTGCTTGTGTTTTCTTTATGTTTATGCTGCTTCAGCTCATTGAGCTTGTTGAGGAGCCAGTTTTCAGTTTTTCCATTTCACCCTCCTCCTCCCCCTACATATTTCTGTCTGATTTCTGCATGTCCACCCCCTTCCTGGGGGCCCAGTTAAACGTACGTGTGGCTATTTGCAAATTTCCCACAAATCCTCTTTATTTTCTGTTTCGGATAAATTCAATTAACCTATCTGTGAGTTCCTATGATTTTTCCCCAGATATCTTCAATCACATGTTATACTTATCCACTGACTTATTTCATGTGTTATTCTTTCCATTCTAAAACAGAGATTTAATTCATTTCTATGGCTTTTGTTTCATCACGGAGATGTCCCACTTATTCATTCATTAAAACTATTTTCTTTTTGTGCCATCGAACACTCTTATAGTAGCTGTTGTAGTTTTCCTGTCTACTTATTCCAAGATCTAGATAACCCTATGGTTGATTTCCATTAATTAATTTTTCTCTTGATTCTGGTTATACTCTTCTGGTTTTTTGTGGGCTTGCTTTCTGTTTATTGTGTGCTTGACAGTGTCTCATTCATAATGAAGACAGTGGGTTTTGTCATCTTTTCCTTGAGGAGCATTGAGTTGTGTTCTAGCCAGTGAACTGGGCCGGACAGCCAGTGCTGGCTCCGCTAGGTGACCTGGGCCTTCCCAGGGACGTGGTCCCTCCTAGGGTGTGGCCTCTCCTGGGTGTGCGCCAGGAGCTGTACCCAGTCCTCTCAGCCTTGCAGCTCTTGCCTCTCCTGTGTGGTTCAAGGGTAAACCAGGGGTTTTTGTTGGGTTTGGAGGGAAATTTGGGGCGGTGTCTTCCTTTCTGGGACTTTCTCTCTCACGTTCCAGGCACGCCATCAGCCCCACTTTGTTCTTCTGATTCCTGGAACCAGCAGCACTGTGATTCTTAACATGTCTCGGCTCGGTCCGTGTGGACTATGGAACAGGGGCCATGCTAGTGGCTGCCTTCCTCCAGTTTCTGCTTGGTTTTGGTCACTCTTTTGGCTCTGATGATGTCCTCTTTTACATTTTGTCTGAGTTCCTACTATTTGCACAAGGGTTCATTGAAAACGTGCTGCTCTGCCGTTGCCAGAATTGTACAACCCTACTTTTCATTTTCTGTCTTCCACTGACAGTGCGTAGCATTCAACAAAAAGCCTACATTTCTGTGAATGATAGTGGTGTGTCATCAAAATCTTTAAAGGAGTCGAGCATAGTGCTAATCTTATTTTTTCTTTTCCATAGACAAGAGATGATTTCCTAGGTCAAGTGGATGTTCCTCTTTATCCGTTACCGGTTAGTATAGTTGTCCATCATTTTTTTCTTGTTTTTTTAAAATTTAATAAATGCTTACATGTATGATTAATGTCAAGATTTGTAAAGTTTGTACTACTTTTTTTCAGCATATTTTCTGAAAATCCATTTCCTTTTTCCACATCAATGTCTGTAGCAGCTCCTTGCCTGCAGCCTGTAAGGTGCAGTGAGCCACAGAGCATGCTGGTCCTGTGAGAGCAGAGTGGTGCAGGATGGAGGCTGGAGGACAGCGCTCGGGTTTAGGAGAGTAGGCCAGGTGTTCAATAGACAAAGCAGAGAGTAAATAGTACACACTGAGCTTTGAAGAGAAGGTGGTGTCTTAAGTAGAAAAAGGAAGAATAAAACCCAATTTATTTTGAAATGCAAAAATTTTTTTTTTATTTTAAAGAGGAGAAACAGAAAACAACAAATCTATTATCATACTCTCTTTTTTTTTCCCCATAATTTTATTGAGAAGCAAATAGCAATGAGACAGTTTCAAACCAAATTGGTAGGACAGTTTCAGTAATTAACACATTGCATACATTCCTCCTAGTGGTTAATTGCTGTACAAGATGCGGACATGATATCCTATCTACAAACACCATTAGAACAAATCATTCTATTTATTAAGAGAATGTAACCATATATCTATCCTAATCACTTTGAATACACAGATACAAAATGGACATTCATCTGTAACCCCTTTTTTTGTTAAGTTCCATCATTTAAATATTATAGGTGTGCAAACTCAGCAATATTCTAAAAGAGTCCAGTAGTCCATGATAGTATTGGGTCTTCTGCTTGACTGGCAATGTCAGAAAAAGTTGACCTGAGTCCCGTACAGCTCAACATAACAGCATGGCTTTATTTCTTATATTTCATTTTTATACTTTTCTGCTGGATGGTTAAGACCAAGGTAAAGAAGGACCTATGCAACAAGAGTTGTAGCTTTTGGGTCTGATAAGGTCAGTGAAATCCCCTCAGGATTTATCCTGAGATCCTGTACCTTATACTCCCTTTAAATAAATTAAAAATAAAAATAAAAAGTTAAAAGGACAAGGAAAAAATTTAAGGTTTATTGAAAGGAAGAGTTAATGTTTAATTGATCAATGTTGCTTACCTATATCTGGTAATCTGAGCAACAGACTTGATGATAACAATAACAAATACATAAGAATTTATTTTTGGACATAGTCAAATTTCAACAGAAATCCAGTACTGCAAAAAAAAAATGAAAAGGGAAAGGAGAGAGGAGGAAAGAAAGAAGGAATAGGGGAAGGGAGGAGAGCTGGCAGTTTTCATAAGCCTGGGCCAGAGAGGAGACAATGGGAAAATGGGGAAGAACTGCGCAGGTGGAGCCAGTGGAGGTGAGAGAGGCTGGAAAGACCTCAGGGCAGGGGCGCGTGGTGACCAGCACAGGAGTGAAGGACAGTAGAAGCAGGCTGAAGGCACCTGCACTTGCAGAGAAGACTCCCTTCCTCAGTGGTCCCTGGGTACAGAGACCACGGGCCTCGTGCAGCCCACTCAGCCAGGCCCTCCTGCCCAAAGCGGCCCCCACCGTGCCCCTCATCCGCGCTGCCTCCGTCTCCCCTGCCTGTGGACCATGCCCTCCTCCGTCCCTGTGCCACCCACTGCCCCCAAGCAGTCTCTCCATCCCTCCAGCCTGCTGGCAGCCGCAGTGCTGCCCACTCAGCTCAGTTCACACTGCGGAGTGACCAGTGTAGCCACGTATTTGATAACTAAACTGACTGTCTTCTAACTACAGTTCCGCTGAGATTGTGGCTTGTGAATGTGCTTAAGAAGTGCACAGTTTTGTACACAGTTCAAGCTGTCTCTTGAAAACCCCTTATTTTATTCTAGACAGAGAACCCAAGACTGGAGAGACCATATACATTTAAGGATTTTGTTCTTCACCCGAGAAGGTCAGTAACTAAGGTCACAGCACCTTCAGTATGCGTATCTCCCACCAATCCTTACCATAGCCCGTTTGGAAGTTTAAACCCCTGTGAATAAGCTACTTCTGAAATACTATAATTTATAAGCTTTATTTTTAATGTATTTTATTTTGATTTTGATTTAAAAGTACCATTTGCACATTTTGAACATTGGGAAAGGTTGCTCCGGTGTCAGAGCAGACACTGGCACTTGCTGTGATTTGTGCTTTTCTTTTTTTTTTTTTTTTTTGGCAGAACCGGAGGTTGAACTTAGGCCCTTTTGCTTGCCAGGGAGCCATCTCCCCGGCCCCTGTGCTTTTCAATTAAGCTGTATACAATTTTGTCACATACCACATTAAAATTTCACAAACATCATTTAAAACAAAGATCCACCTTGGCATGCACAAAGCCAATTTCAGGAAAATCTAACTACATTTTGAATCTTTTAATTGTTAAAAGTATTTAGGAAAAATTATACAAGTGGAGGCTAGAATTTAAAACTCAAATAGCAAGCTTATCATTCCACTTTCCTAAACTGAATTACTTGATTTTGTCAAAATTTTAAAACTCCATTTAACCTTCTATACCACATAGGTTAAATCTAAATAAAATGTATGTTGATTTACTATCAGAGAGTTCAGAGTCAGCAGAGAAAGGACATCGGTGAAAACAATATTTTGTCTTGTTTTTTAAACTAAAAATGCCTTTGAAAAATGGAATGTAGCAAAACTTTTCATTTTAAATGATTTCTTTAAATTTTTTGCAGTACAAATATAAAAACAAATGAAAGACAGTGCTGTGACTTTATTAATGTTTGCTTTGTGTGAGAGGCATCACATATTTAGTTCAGTAGGAGTATAAGGGATAAATCTGTTGGCTTCATTAATTCTAAACTGAGGGCCAGGGAGATGGCTCAGTGAAATAAGCGCTTCCCTCGCAAGTGCAAGGGGCCTAAGTTCAATGCCCAGTTCTGGGAAGAAAAAAAAAAGGAAAGGTAATCCTAAACTGATTGTGACATCTGTGTACCGACACAGATAAGGCAGTGTTCATCCTGGTGTTGGAGTGCGCTAGGAGCCTGATTTTCAATTTATGAGGTGCTTTCTACCATCTTTCTTTTACAAATAACACTTGGCCTCTTCTGTGCCTGCATCGAAGTTGGTCTCAAGCGCTTTCTGCGCTTTGCTCAGGTGGTTGGGGCACACTGCTCTCATACCCTCTTGGGAGCACAGGAAGCACAGTGGAGATGTTTTCTGCAGAGTGTTCTCTGAGCCACAGCAGCAGGTCAGCTTGTGCCACCCTCACCTGAGGAAGCCGCAGCAGTGGCTCTGGAAATAGGGCTGAGGGTCTTCCTGGCCACTTGGGACAGGGAACACTAAATTTGCCAAGTTCATAAGAACTATACAGAGAACAACTAAATGGCCGGGTGAAGGTAAGATTAAAACACTGCTATCCAGAAGAGCAAAGGGTAGTTGGGTACATAACGGTCATTTATGAAAATCACCAAATAGAAACTGTTTAGAAAGCTAGGAACTGTTTCTAAAATAAACCTTAGAATGCCAGAATAAAATAGAAGCAATAAAAGAGATAGAACTAAATCTTAGAAGCTTATGAATGTCAGGGTTTTAAAAAAGATTAAAAACATGACCCTAGTAGGCAGCAGCCTTTAAACTCGGGTGACCCATTATGGAAAAGTAACACAGTGTGAAGACAGTGGGGCGATGCACAGACCATGGGGTCCTCCCTGTCACCCTGCACCCTCTAACACCAGGCTCCTGCGCACATCTCTGAGGGTGCACCCCCTGTCCCTGGTCTGTGTGGCCCCCAACATGTGTAAGATGAGGCTGAAGTCTGGGCTCTGCACACCCTCATCACTTGGACGGTCCCCCTCACCAGCTGCTGGATGGGGCTGCAGCCAGGCCACATTCAGCTCTGGCCACCCCTGAACCGACACAGCTCCCTGTCTTCCGGGTTCCCAGCTCTTCCTCTCCCTCCACGCCACAAATCAGAATCCTCCCCAGCCTTCCAGGCCCACACACCAGCTCCTCCCATTCCTTTGCTTGAACTTTCTCATCTTTTTTTTGGCTTTGTTTGATTTGGTTTGATTTTTTGAGACCCACAATTTAATTCAGACTGGCTTTGAATTCACCTGAGTAGCCTAGGCTGGCCTAGAATTTGTGGAGTTCCTCCTGCCTCGGCCTCCCAAGCGCCGGGATTCCAAGTGTGTGCCACTATGCCCAGCTCGGCTCCTATTTAGAGCAGCTACTCCCTACACGTGTTTCCTTTTCCTCTTCCATCTACTGCTCTCCCTGAGTGCCTTCTACACCAGAACCTTTCCTTCAGCCTCCTCTGGAAAATCCCTAGTAGTTAGGTGTTCAGTAAACGCTGAATAATACTTCCTGCCTGGGGTTAACATTTTGTGAATAATTATTTTCTTTTCTACAGTCACAAATCAAGAGTAAAAGGTTATCTGAGATTAAAAATGACTTATTTGCCTAAAACCAGTGGCTCAGAAGATGATAACGCGGAACAGGCTGAGGAACTAGAGGTGAGATTTTATAAATTTTGGTTAAACTAAAAAGAAAATACCTAATTTTGTTTTACTCTATTCCAAAGAAAAATAACTTCGTTCAATGAAATTAATGTGTCTACTGAGAAATACTTACTCAGACAATCACCCCCCAAGCTTCCACTAGCAGCTTCTTTTCCTCTTCAGGCTTCTCTACAGTGGTGGCCACCCTTCACGCTTTCTGAAGCTTAAGACGTAGAAAAAGCAACGTTTAAAAATGAAAGCATGTGTCATAATTAGATCCTTAAGGGCCAGAGATATAGCTCAGCAGCACACTCCTGCCTGGCAAGTGCAAGGTCCCAAGTTTGATTCTTGGTACCAATGATAATAATAATAATAATAATAATAATAATAAATCATTATGCATTTCTAGTGTTTCAGAGTTTTGTAAAACTATCTGTGTTCTCTCAAAGCAAGAATACAAGTTAGATTTGTAAGTTAAATATGTGGGCATTTTGAGGAGTCTCTACATAAGCACTTTTTAAAAAATTGTATTTATTTATTTATTTTTGTATTTTAAGGAAGGGTCTACAGGGTGTTCAAGGTCTCACTACTAGAGCAGAGTTGTAGTGATTCTCCTGTTTACAGCCTCCCAAGTGCTGGGATTACAGGCCCACACCACCACGCCCAGTCTCAATTGCCATCTCAGCATGCCCTGGGGGCAGGGCCGGCACAGCAGGCCAGGGATTGAACCCCAGGCCCCTGCACCTGCTTGCAGGCACTTTAATCTGCTGAGCTATTTGGCCAGCCCAACACAAGCACTTTTATGACTCATAATTTCTGTTATTTTTCCTGTCATGGGAAGCCTCAGAGCAGAGGAGGGAAAGAGAGGGGACATCTGTGTGAGCTAGTAAAAGTTATGTTTACTTGACACTTTTCAGGTGACAAGACAGAGGAAAGGCCTCAGCAAGTTATGGGGAGCATCCGGTGTAGAGGCATTTGTACCTTGTCAGGCAGAGGAGAGAGGATAGTACCATGAGGGAGGCCTCTGCAGGGTTCCAGGCTGGGCATGCTTGGGCTCCCTCCCATGGGAAGTTTCGTGATCTGAAAGGGGGCAGCTCCTGCTCCTCAAGGCCCCTTTCTGTACCCTGCCCCACAGCCTGGCCTCTGACTGGGCATCTGCTGTGGTCTCCACAGGAACAGGAGCTAAAAGTTCTCTCAGGGCTGGCTGCCACGGTATGGCAGTGGCACCAAGGGGAGGCCTGATAGTGGGGGCTGCATTTGCAGCAGGGCTTTCTGGAGATTTTTTGATGCATTAGTGAAATATTACTTTGTGGGGTGATGTATAATTGAAAGGGCAAAGTTTGTCTCTTGAAATCATAGCTTATGTGTAAAGCCTTTACTACAAGCAAAGATCATGTCTACTCTCAAGTCTGGCTTCACTTACTTGATTTTTTTGAGACAAGGACTTGATCCATCACCCAAGCTGGACTTAGCCTTCCAGAGCACTGGATGACAGGCACACACTACTGCACCAGACTTTATTATCTTTTTTCCCCAATTTTTTTTCATATAATATTATTTTTAAAGTTTTAAGGTATTTATTGGATAGAAGCTTGGTGTACAGGTTATCTTGCATGATAAAATTATTGGAAATGAAAAATGTCTGCAGTAAAGAAAATAAATATTTTAATAACTTTAAAAAATGAACAGCAAAAAAGAAAGAGCAGCATTTCATTGCTTAGTAACCTGCTCCAGGCTTTGCCCTCACACATGTGCCGCAGGTCCTGGGTCCCAGGCACACCCAGGCCGGTGGGCAGAGCCCTTTCCTCGGTGTTGCTGCTTCAGTGTTTGAATCCCCAGATGCAACTTATAATTTCAGGAGATGTGAATGGAGTTTATTTATTAAAGGCCCAAGGAATTCACACCCATGAGCTCATGCCTAGTTATGTTCTGGGTAGCTGACGACCAAAGAAGTCTCCCCTGCGTTTAGTTTGTAAGCACAGACATAAAATTCTACTGTTTGAAGAAAACAGTTTTACTTTTAAAAAGAGATTCACTCATAGGCAGTTTGTGTTCTTTAGTAAACTGTGGCTGTGACAGGTAGTTATGTAACATTCGATCTTGTACCCTAGGCAACTTAGGGTCCTTTTGTGTGCCCTGAGGTGTGGACAGTGGTGTCTCTGAAGCCACCTTTCAGCTCCTTAGCTGCTTTCACTTGTGAGAAAGGTTCACTGATTCTTGCAAACTTGTTTTATGAAGAATAGCAGATGATGCATTTCAATAGGAATTCTACCCAAACAACGAAAACCCACTTTCTGAATGGTATTTGAGTGTGCAACTGTACCTCCTCAAATTGTAAACAGGCTTTTTAAAAAGGACTTAATCAAATTTAGAATTTTTTCTTCTTAAATATACTTACATAGCAGAAAGCAAATCTTTAAGGAGGAATCTTAGCTTTTGTTTGTTTTTTGTTTTGCTTTGCTTTTGTAGGGATTGACCTAAGGTCTTCTCACCGAGTTACCTTCTCATTCCTTTGGTTTTGCCTTTTGAGACAAGGTCTCAGTAAGTGACTGAATTACCTGGGCTACGTTTTGTAGTCAAACTTACAGGTATTCATTTAGATGCCCTTTAGCTTCGAGGTCATATCCAGCAGCTTCCCAGTCTTGGAATATATGTTTTAAGTTTGACAATGTTTGTTCTAATACTTTTGGGGTTTATTCTCTAACCCTAAGTATGTCTTGGTCTAGCCTGGTGTGGTGGTACATGCCCCAAATCCCAGACTCTGGGAGGCAAACGCAGAAGGAACAAATAAAGAATAAAGGGCTAGAGCTGGAGCTCAATGCAAAGGTCCTGGACTCAATCTCTAGTGCAGCAAAAAATTAAATAAAAGAAACATTACTTTATCTGAGTGAAGTGTCGTAAGCAACATAGCAAGGCCCTGCCAAAGAGTATAATTATTTCTTCATCTGTAACTTCCCTGGTGTAACATGTGAGATAGGGGTCCAGTTAAAAACAAATTAATAGGTACCCATTTTCTAAGCAATTCATCTCCTTCCCACAGATTTGAAGCTTAGCATCTGCTGAATTCCTGTGTATTTGTCTCTCTGGGCTTTCCAATCCATTCTTTGGAACCATCTGTCCTCGCGTGCACCATAGCCACTCAGCTCATTCTTATGATTTTTTGTTTTGTTTTTGTGATGCTGGGAAATGACCCAGGACCTTTGGCTGAGGTTGCCAGCCCTGTTTTTTATTTTGAGATCAGGTTTCACTGAGTCACTAGTTGCCAAGGCTGAACTTGAACCTGTGGTCCTCCTGCCTCAGCCTCCCAAAGTGCTGAGATTGCAAGTGTGTGCCACCACATTCAGTTTTAACAATTGCATTTAATGATTTTTTTTCAGCTGGGTTTCTCTACTCATTACTCTTGTTTTTTTGTTTGTTTGTTTGTTTGTTTTAGAGTAAAACTCTTTATTACTCCTAGTTTGCATTTCTGTTTGAATTTGGTAATTGGCTTGTGCTTCCATTTAAAAATATCCATCATGTAATTTATCATAATCTTGGCAAATTTATAGGCCAACTTGTTTAGAATTGGCCTTTTGAGATTGGATCGATCTAGCCATGATAATATTGCATTTTCATTCATGTAGGTCTTGTAGGGGCATCTTAAATTTTTCTGTAATAATTTTTGATTTCCAACATTTGCCTAACTGTACAAGTATTTAATAAAATACTTTACCTGAGAGCTTCTCTATTGTAAGATGTTTCATATGAAATCGGGACATTAGTTATTACCCTTTCATTCCTTACTTTACCCCAGCTAAGGCTTGATATGTGTTTTGTTTCTTGCTAGACTCAGAGAAGCCAAACCCCCAGGGTACCTGTCTCTTGGTCGTTTCTGTCTTTGGCTGCTTTGTGACCTATGTGCCCTTGCCCGGAGGAGGAAAAGCAAAGGCGGATGAGGACCAGGGGCTTCCACCGCTGCAGATGCGTGTGGCAGCCGTCCGATGAGTCTCTCATCTTGTGGTCTGCCTGAGCTTTACTGGCTTCTCCTGGCTCGTGTGGGACTGTCTCCACCAGCAGCAGTGTCTTTCCGTGGGTAAGACGGTGCCATCTCGCATCGGCCCGTCCTGTGCACGGCTGGTTTAGCTTAGAGGACGACACCCCCCCCACCTCATTGAGCTTTTGGGTTCTCATTGCTGTCCCACTTTGTATCCTTTGCTTATTTAAAAGGATTATGGGAGGGGCAGAGAAGATGGCTCAGTAGAATAAGCTCTTCCCTGGCAAGCACAAGAGCCTGAGTTCAATCCCCGATCTCCACCCCCCACAAAGAAAAGAAGGAATGAAAGGATTATTGGAGCCGGCCCGATAGCTCTATGGACTAAAGCGCTGGGTTTAGGCAGAGCGTAGCAACAAGGGTTCAATCCTGAGCTGCTGTGCCGGCCCCGCCCACGGGGCACGCTGAGATGGCAGATTGAGACCCGGCGCAGTGGCACGTGCCTGTAA